CTCCCCTGCTGAGAGCAGCCAGTCCATCATGTCCCTCCCCAAGCTGCAGCAGGTCCCAGGTCTCCACCCTCAAGCCGTCCCCCAGCCCGACGTGGCCCTGCATGCCCGGCCGGCCACCAGCACCGTCACAGGTACCACCAGAGCTGCTCTGGGCACGTTCTGTGGAGAGATCCTCCCAGTTTGGGATGCTGATGGGAGAGAAGAGCAGGGAGTGGACCATCCCTAACATTAGTACCCCCTCCTGTGTTCTCCCCCCCAAGGGTTGGGGCTGGCTTCCCGCGCGCCTGCAGTCAGCACCTCGGAATCCAGCACGGGGACGGGAACCACCACCCCCTCCACTCCCACCTCCACCAGCCAGAGCCGCCTCATCGCCTCCTCGCCCACCCTAATCTCAGGAATCACCAGCCCCCCGCTCCTCGACTCCATAAAGACAATCCAGGGCCACGGTTTGCTGGGGGCACCCAAGGCGGAACGAGGGCGGAAGAAGATCAAGGCGGAAAACCCTTCGGGACCGCCGGTCCTGGTGGTGCCCTATCCCATCCTGGCCTCGGGGGAGACGGCCAAAGAGGGCAAGACCTACAGGTAGACACCCCCCCCAGCCCCTCGGGGGCGGGCTGGGGCGATGCTGGGGTGCCCCCCTGCCCTCCCAGCCCGGTCCCTTGCTGGGTTCTCCTCCCTCTCCAGGTGTAAGGTCTGCCCCTTGACGTTCTTCACCAAGTCGGAGATGCAGATCCACTCCAAGTCGCACACAGAGGCCAAGCCCCACAAGTGCCCCCACTGCTCCAAATCCTTCGCCAACGCCTCCTACCTGGCCCAGCACCTCCGCATCCACCTGGGCGTCAAACCCTACCACTGCTCCTACTGCGAGAAGTCCTTCCGCCAGCTGTCCCACCTCCAGCAGCACACCAGGTGAGCACGCTGTGGTGCTGAGGGTGGCCCAGGAGGCTGGAGGGGGGGTCCTTCAGCCTGCCCTTCCCTTAGGGGGTGGTGGGACATCCGCCCAGCAGCTCTGGCGTCATGCTCGTTGTCCTCACTACCCTCATTGTCGCCATCACCTGCTTCATACCTGCCATACTTATCTGTCCCCACCATGCTCATCATCCCCACTACCCTCTTCTGTCCCACCATGCTAATCTGTCCCCAATGCCTTCATGATCCACGCCAGGTCATCATCACCATCTTCATCAACCCCACCACACATCATGTCCACTACTTTCGTTGACCCCATCATGCTCATCTGTGCCCTCCATGCCAATCCATCCCCATTGCCTTCATCATCGCCAGCCACAGTCATCACCTCCACTACCTTCATCAACCTTGCCACACTCATTGTCCCCACCACCTTCTTCATCCCCTCCATACTCATCTGTCACCACTACACTCATCATACCCCCAACCTTCATTGTCCCTACCACATTCATCATCTCCACCACATTCATTGTCCCCACCATGCTCTTCATTTCCACCATGTTCACTGTCTCCACCACCTTTGTTGTCCCCACTATGCTCTTCATCCCCACCACCTTCATCATCCCTACCACAGTCATGGTCTCCATCACCTTCATTGTCCTCACCATGCTCATCATCTTGACCACCTTCATGTGCTCATAGAATCATGGAATGGTTTGGGTTGGGAGAGACCTTAAAGATCATCTAGATCCAACCCTCCTGAATGGGCAGGGACACCTCCCACCAGCTCAGGTTGCTCCAAGCCCCAGATCATCTCAAAAAAAAATCATCTGTGAAGCCTCATTATCACCACCTTCACTGTCTCCACCACCTTCACTGAACCCACCATGCTCTCCATCCCCACCATTTCCATCATCTCCAAACCTCTTGACCTTCACCCATGGGTCTCCCCACCCTTTCCCCCACACCCTGCTGGCCACTTCACCCCTGCTCCAACACCAACACCAACATCACCGTGGCCACCACCATCCTCATCCCATCCGCCACCTCTCAGCGGGGTGCTGGGGGCTCCCAGGGAGTCTGGGGACAATCACCTGATGATATCCTTCACCCCCCCAACCAGAATCCACACCGGTGACAGACCCTACAAGTGCCCTCACCCCGGCTGTGAAAAAGCCTTCACGCAACTCTCCAACCTCCAGGTCAGTGGTGGCCCTGGGAGGGGGGAGAGGA